ACACACAGCCTGTTACACACACAGCCTGTTACACACAGCCTATTATACACACACAGCCTGTTACACACACAGCCTGTTACACACACAGCCTGTTACACACACAGCCTATTATACACACACAGCCTGTTACACACACAGCCTGTTATACACAGCCTGTTACACACACACTGTTACACACAGCCTGTTACACACACACAGCCTGTTAGCCTGTTACACACACAGCCTGTTACACACACAGCCTGTTACACACACAGCCTGTTACACACACAGCCTGTTGTAGAGAGCTCACTCACTCAGAGCCAGAGGAGCCGCCTGGACTGAGACAGAGGGGACATAAAGACCATAACCCTGAGTCTAAACAGAGCTATTAAAGTCCTCGTGTCTTTTTAGAGCCAGACTTGTTCTTTTTAAAGGCACTCGGACACTTTGATGGAGCACTTCTGTCCACAGCTGTGCGCTCTTAAAAAAGAACTCACTTGTCTGGATCTGCTATTTTTCTGATTTACTGTGAATGCAGGGACTAAACCAGGGCTAAACCAGGACTAAAATAGGACTAAACCAGGACTAAAATAGGACTAAACCAGGACTAAAATAGGACTAAAACAGGACTAAAACAGGATTAAAACAGGACTAAAACAGGATTAAAACAGGACTAGGACTAGATCAGGACTAAACAAAGAATAAAACAGGAAAAAAGAGGGCTAATCCAGGACTAAAACATAACTAAAACAGGACTAGGATTAAACCGGGACTAAAACAGGTTTAAACAGGACTAGAACTAGACCAGGACTAAAACAGGTTTAAAACAGGACCAAAACAGGACTAGGACTAAACCAGGACTAAAACAGGTTTAAAACAGGACCAAAACAGGACTAGGACTAAACCAGGACTAAAACAGGTTTAAAACAGGACCAAAACAGGACTAGGACTAAACCAGGACTAAAACAGGTTTAAAATAGGACTAGGATTAAACCAGGACTAAAACAGGTTTAAAACAGGATTAAAACAAGACTTGGACTAAACCAGGACTTAAACAGGATTAAAACAGGACTAGAACTAGATCACGACTAAAGCAGGATTAAAACAGGACTAAAACAGGACTTGGACTAAACCAGGACTAAAACAGGACTAGTATTAGACCAGGACTAAAACAGGACTAAGCCAGGACTAGTACTAAAACAGGAATAAAGAGGGCTAAGGCAGAACTAAACCAGGACTAAACCAGACTAAACAGGTCCCAGTCAGATGTCAATCAAGACTAAATCATATTTTTAAAAGGTCTAAATCAGGACTAAATTTGATCTGAAAGTGCCTAAACTGGACTAAACCAGGACTGGGCAAAATAAAAACAGGACCAAAACTAAAGGTCTTAACTAAAAACTAAAGGCAAGGTCTTAAAAATGAGGTCAGGTCTAAGGTAAAACTAATCCAAGTCTATAGCAAGATGCATTTCAAATAAAATTGGAACTAGACCAAGACTGAACCAGATGTAAACCAGGACTAAACCAGGTCTCAGTGGTCTATTAATGTCTGTGTACACTCCTGCGGTGCATATGATCCTACGCACATGTCCACCAGGCCTCAGACGGCACAGACCCCACCCCTCCACTCCTCTTTCTCTCTCTCCCTCTCTCCATTTTGCCTTTCCCTCAGGCGTTAAATCCACTCTCCCTCGCTCCCTCCTTCTTTGTGACAAGGTTGCAGAAAAAAAAGACGGTTTCTATGGCAACCTCTCCTTCTTCCCGCTCCGCATTAGACGATGACGTTTCCATTTCCTGCCCGTGACATGGACAAATGGAACAGTATTACGCTTATTACAGTTAGCAGACCATTCATCTAATTGTTTTATATTTAGGATTGCAAATGGCATTCTGTATCTTATCCAGTGTATAAATCATATTAGAGAGCTGTGTTTTTAGATACAAGAACCGGAACTTGTAGCTGTAGTTACGCTGCAGTTTTATTTCAGATGAGCTAAATGAGACCAGACAGGCTCTATACGTAAGCAATGATATTCTGTTGAAAGGCCTTGCTGTAGCCATATATATTATACAATTTTATAGCCTTTTAAAGCTACTGTTTACCATGTTATGTTGGTTTATCAGAGTCTGATTCATCAGACGGTTGGTGACCTCGCAGCATTAGGATTCGTTCGTTCGATGACTTTTTTATTTAACCAATCACTGCTATTTGGTCGTGACGTATGTAATGTGAAGGGCAATAACGTCTTTCTCCTTGATAAAATTCACCAAACATTCTCTTTGTTCCCTTTAAATCCTCGATCTCGGGAATCGTTGCCAACACAGAATGTATGTCTTCATCTACATCAATCTCAACCGCTTTGTTTACTGTTGTGCTGCACCACAAAATGGACCCAGACAGGGGCTTGAGTTTGACGTCATGGCTTCACAGCTCTTCGTGGTCCACAACTTCCGAGGTTCTTGCAAACCATCAAGTGTATTCTGATTTCTGACTTAGTTACTGGAGAGAAATGAAATTGAGCGGAGGCACTAGGTGGCGCCAGCCTGGCTAGGTTTATCTTTCTCAAAAAAAAAAAAAAAAAAACACAGGAGAGTTTTCATTTGCACACATATGAGTAATAAGTGGGTAACAGTGACAAAATTGTTGGTGTGTTCTTAGGCAAGACACTTTTCTAAGACTTGCAAGACTATTCCATATTACTTACTATGAAAGTGATGTGTGTTGGTGGTGGTGTGAGAGGCTGATGGTGCAGATTGGCAGCCACACTTCCATCAATGAATTAACGTAATTGAGACTTTGAGCTAATAAAACTAATACTATAATGGCCAGACCTCCTTGTCAGATCTGCAGAAGCTAAGCAGGGCCGGGCCTGGTCTGGACTTGGAGGGGAGACCGCTGGGAATATCTGGTGCCACAGTGGAGCAGCAGTGGCAAAAACTGTTGTTGTGTCTGTAAGCAAGACACTTCGCCCACATTGTCTAGTATGAATGTGGTGTGAGAGTGTAGGTGGTGTATGGAGAGGACGATTGTGTAGATTTTCAACCGTGGGGCTTCTGGTTCTTTCTGGCTCCAATTGACTTACATTAGAATCTTGACGCCCTCTCTATAACTGCTGCAGTGAGCCTCGTCATTTTGATCTTAAAATGTTCATATTAACCCGCTTTACATGATCCAGATTTTTTCCCACTATTTTATCTGCCAAAAAAATCCTATTCATAACACAGAGCCGGGCTCCAGATTCACTCCTGTAACCATGAGCATCGCAAGCCTCATTTGAGCGGCAGGTAACATCACACTCACTTAGCCCACTTTTTTTTTTACAGTCTGTCATAGTAATTCACCTTCACCAACTGTGGAGTGACTGAATGATGCACGGAAGAGTAAAGCAACATTGAGTTTCAGGAAGAGCACTACATACGACTAATACTGTTAAAACTAATACTACTAATTATTAATATGAAAGGATATCTATAACTGGGCTCGGTCAAGCAGAAGTAAACAGCAAGGCCAAAAATTCAAGTTAATGCGTTTGATATAAAAATGTATTCAACAGATACATATGTACTCTAGTTTATGAAACTGTTGACCTTTTTTCTGTACCATTTTTGGTTCTAAAGTTACATACGTTTTAAACAGACCATGTATGAAACATGGAACAAAAATTATTTCCCAAATTTCAAAGACCTGCAAATCATGTAAATAAATGGATGTATTTCATCATATCTTGTGTTATTCGATCTTTGAACTGTTGATGAAGGTACATGATAAAAAAAAAAAAAAAGTATTTAAAATGATAATATAATATTTTATAGAAATAGTTTCCTTTCATTTTGAAGTAATATTAAAGTATTCGGAAGAAAAAAGCGACAAATTATACAAAATCATGCACCTTCTACTTGTTTGCACAATTTTCCCTCCGTTACTTTTCCCTCCGTTACCATGACCTTTCTTAATAAAAAATCTCATTACTCAAAAAGTAAGAGGTTTTTCAACTTAATCTTGTACCATATGGTAGAAAACTATATGAAGCAAATATTCAAACCAGTTTGTTAAGGATATGTAAGTGAGAACCGCTAGTTATCACTGTTTATATTTATTGCCCAAAAAGTGCTGCATATTTCAATCCCTCCGTTATAGACATGAGTTTTTAAATTTTTGGTCAACAACTTGAAAGAATATCACAGGTTTAACTTTACCCTGTTGGAGTGTTAACTCTTTCCTACATTCTGATACTTTATTTATTTCAATAGTCCCTCTAGTTTCTGAATAAGAGCTATTTGAATGTAAAAAATCTGCCCCTGTTTCCCTCCGTTACTGCTTGACCGGACCCAATTTTATAAGTATAATGATCAGTTCTCAGCTCTGCATTTTGTTACATTATGTATTTGTGGCTCTCACACCAAGTAATACCTAAGAAAATATTAGAATTTCGAGTACCACTAGATATGAATCAAATATATAAATATAACAGGACTATACCAGGTCTAATAAGGCTAAACCAGGTCTAAACATGGGTTACATCATTTCCACTGTAGTTCTAAACAAGAACTGATCCAGGAGATGATATGAAAAGTGGATAAAATGAAATGGACAAAGTGAAGCGCTGTCCAAGCACCGCCTGAAGCAGCTCACGCACCACAGTTTGAGAAACACTGATCTAAAACACACCAGGAGACCAGAGCGGAGCCGGACCGGTCATAACCTCCTCTCTCCCTCTTCCCCTGCCCTACTTTCACTTCAGCACCACCATCACTGCTTCATTTCCTCTCCGTCTCACATATGAACAAATGACTCAAGCGTTGTATTTTCTCCTCATTATGTCACCATGCAATTGGCTTCGGCGCTTTTTGAATTTCTAGGTCAATTTTGTTTTTGAATGACGATTTGGAGAAAGTAGCCAAGGATCTGATCCACTTTTGTGCAACCGGCAATGAGTCAATGTCTTCTAAGGATGCTGTGTTATGTAATGGGACATGTTCAAATTTTCTGTTGTTGTGCGTTGTTTGTTTGTGCGATAGGTCGACCCAGATAAAGACGTATTCTTGGGATAACGCGCAGGTGGTGCTGGCTGGAAACAAATGTGATATGGAGGAGGAGCGGGTGGTGTCTGTGGACAGTGGACGTCTGCTCGCTGAACAGCTCGGTAAGTCCTGAGAGAAACAGGAAGAGAAAGTATGATATGAGAATTTGAACATGTTAGACAGATAGTGTAAAAAATAAAAAAATACTAGACACGGAAAGACATAATTAGATTCAACTGTGTTAAAAATGTTAGGTGCACTTCCAGGTTATAAAAGCGTAATCCATCATCAATACTCTCTGGGGAGTGATGTTAACTGTGGACACTAGGGGGGTCACGGTAAACAAAAATCATGGTTCGGTATGTACCTCGGTTTTGAGGTCACAGTATGGGAGCAAAATGCAAAACCATTTGTGTGTTTATTAAACCAACAATTTGTTTTAACATTATGCAAACGGGAAAATAAAATAAATACAAAGTGCTGATTGGTAATAGTAATAAGTTAAATAAAATATTCTCAAATAAGCAACAAATGTGTGATGTTGTATGTGCGATATTACAAAAAATAAATTCCTTGTAAACAGTAAGCAAAATTTTTCAAAACTTAAAGCGCAGCAATAAAAGTTCCAGCATGAAGTTTTACTCAGTCTTCATATTTTTGGCCAGAGAAAACAACTTGTCCACTTTGTTTGCAATAGCTGAGATTCCGTGTTTTAAATGACTAAAAGGCGAAAGTGAGGACCAGGGTGCGACAGGTTTCGGAGGGAGGTAGTCAAGGTGTTGGGCAATTGTTGTCAAGGCGGCCACCCTAACGATAAAGCACTGCAGGAAACACTGCCACCCCAATTACTGTCGAGTTTCCTTGTGAATATTAAAGAGCCGAGCCTTGCATGTAGCGGCACATGTAGTGGTGGAATGTAAACACACACTAACTGCATGAACTCACTCGTGCACAGCCCCGAACGCCTGGCACGAATACCTATATGTTTTTTTTTTTTGTTTTTTTTTCCAGTTTTTTCCCCACACATAATATCAATATAAATGTAAAACGTACATAAAGGAAAAAATAAAATAAAATAAGATAAAATAAATGACTTATAATAATGCAATAGAATATGTATATGTAGGGTTACACCGAGAGTAAACACTGCTCTGTCTGAAGCTCTGTTACACACTTTTATAAAATTTTAACACAATCTCACCAGAAACAACTGACTTAGTTGGAACTACAACAGGTGAGCTGATTTGTGCTCTTTCTAATAAAATTAAACAAAATTACAGTCACAAGCTCGCTAGCAGTGACCAACAGTTTTTCAGTCAGTCACTTTCACTTTTTGTTGAAAATCAAACTCCTAAACACGATCATGAACCTTCGTGTGGATCTCAGGCTCCAGAAAATATGTTGTTTAAATCCATTTTCCATCCAATTTGTTTTTCTTGAATTTTCACAGAATCTTAAAACTTTTTGTATGTGTTTGCCAATGTGTGCATTGTGTCACCATGGTAACTAACATCCTGCCAACAGAAATACACGTAGAACACCCCCAGCGCGATGTCACTGCAAAGTATCAGTATTACTCATAGGTCACAGCTTCCATTTTGAGGACATTTTCCAATTCAAAAGATATAATATTTAGTTTTAAATTACTAATTACTAACAACCATTTTGAAACCCATGGTACCTGACATTATTTTCATCAGTGAGTACATTTTGTTATGTTTGTCTGCATCTGATTTCTAACTCAAACTCATTAGCCAGAATAAAGAGACTGATATATTGTTAAAATATGCTGTGAAAAAGCAGATCTAAATGTGTGTACATGGCCAGATGTCAATGCTGAGAAACTGAGTGAGTTTGACAAGTGCTAATGAGGAAATATTAAAAGGTATGATACATATAAACTGTTATTATCAGTCATATTCATCTGATAAGAATTTATCTGCTGCATCTGCTAGGATACAGACAGGCCTATAAGAAGTAACAGTGGCTGCCTATTTCTTCCATACGCTGCTCAACATGTAATTTACACCTCCAGACTTGTCTTGTAACTTGTCTCCAGATGGAAAAGGTGATAAAAATAATGTATGATCTGAAAAGAAATAAAAACAGCAATAAAAACAGCAATTTAAAACAACATACTTAATATATTTGAGGTTGTGGCGCTGTCAGTGTTGTGGGTTCAACTCCCAATTTCGATACTTACTGAATGTCTCTCTGCTCTCTCTCCCCATTTTACACTTTATCTGTACAGTGTGTTACATCAGAGTCCTGCACGGGTACATTTTTGGAAACCTGCACCCGCGTAGTACAGCTCCACACCCGCCCATTAACCCATGATTATATCAAAGTTAAATCCACACCCGCCCGGACAAGTTAACATTGCACCCGTTACCCGCCCATGCTCGAGATAAATTGGGATCAGCCCATTAGTCCGACCACCCAGTAGTCCAAGACTAAACCAGGACTAAACCAGGAATTTAACCTATGCTGTGTCATTAGCGGATTATAAATATATAAACCCCACAAATCATAGAGCTGATTGCCAAAACTACACCAGGACTGGACCAGGACTACAACAGGACTGATCCAGGTCTAAGCCAAGACTAAACCAGTGTCATTAGCATAAATATATGCACACCGCAACAGCTGAGCCGATCGCCAGGACTACACCAGGTCTAAACCAGGACTAAACCAGGTCTAAACTAGGACTCAACCAGGTCTAAACCAGGACTCAACCAGGTCTAAACTAGGACTCAACCAGGTCTAAACCAGGACTAAACCAGGTCTAAACCAGGACTAAACCAGGTCTAAACTAGGACTCAACCAGGTCTAAACCAGGACTACACCAGGTCTAAACCAGGACTAAACCAGGTCTAAACCAGGACTAAACCAGGTCTAAACTAGGACTCAACCAGGTCTAAACCAGGACTCAACCAGGTCTAAACCAGGACTAAACCAGGTCTAAACCAGGACTAAACCAGGTCTAAACCAGGACTAAACCAGGTCTAAACCAGGACTAAATCAGGAGCGCAGCCGCGAGCCCATCACCTCCGTTGATGTTTGTATGAAATAAATATACAAAAGTCACTCTCTCAGCCTGATCCATTGTGCTGGGAAAAGATTGGAAAATGGCACTTGTTTCCAGGGCAATGGACATCAAGTATTTTTCTCCTGTTTGTCACACCCGCCCGCATACCCGCCCGTAAAACCCGCCCGTTTCAGCAACTACCCATTGCAGGATTCTGTATTACCTACACATACATTTTGTTCCAGTTCATCTTGTCCCTCTGTAAAAAAATACATAAATAAATATATGAATGAATAAATAAATAACTTTCCAACATTTGTTTTAGCCCCTGAATGTCTCTACACGCTCTCCCCCCACATTATCTATGCAGCAGATAGTAGTTGACCAATAGCTTGAAATTTGGGGTTTTCTCATCTTGTTGTCCAAAAACAGAAAACATAATACAATATATAAATACATACATTATCACTTGATCTTTTACATTTCCTTTGCATTTTCCAGGTTTTGAATTCTTCGAGACAAGCGCCAAAGACAACATCAACGTGAAGCAGACGTTCGAGCGCCTGGTGGACCTGATCTGCGACAAGATGTCCGAAAGCTTGGACAGTGACCCCGCCGTGACCTCCGGAGCCCCCACCGCCAAACTGACGGACAGCGCCCCCCCTCTGCAGCAGCAGGGGTGCAACTGTTAGCGACTCTGTTCTCTTCAGCATTCGCCTCCTGCTAGCAAGCGCTTCTCTGGACACTTCAATCCTTCAATACAATAGTGACCTAAACCTAACCTGAATACTTACCTATAGGAACAATAGACGTAAACACATAGGCAGACTCTCACTCTCAATAGAACAGTTTAACAATGCAAAAAGGAATTATCTAAGGCAGTTAAATTACTTGTATTCCGCATTATTGTTATAATTTTTTGTCATTTTGTCATGGAAAAAAATCTATGTAGTTAAACGCAGATAGGCCACAGTTTTGAGGGCTACTTTTACAATATACTGAGGCAAAAATAATGTTCAAAATACAATACAAAACATTTAAATACGCCATATAAGCAAATGAATCTCTCTAGTATGTATCAACGTACAAAACAGTGAAATTTCTCAAAAAATACACTTTTTAATCAAAATTTGTACTTATTTTTGAATTGTATTGCTTATATTTTAGTCATATCTGCTCAAATATTAAACTTGGTGGAGGGAAGCCAAGTTAAAATACTATCATAAAGGTGTTTTAATGCATACAAACTCGTTAGTATTTTAACGCAACAAATCGTTAACGCAGTACTTGACTCGCCATAGTATTATTTGTTGTCAAAACACAACAAAATTTCAAGTATTGTCTATCACTGACACGAAAATTCAGATTTAAATGCGGAATTCAAGCCATTTTAACTAAGAATATTCACTTTTTGCAGCTTACCGTCATTGATAAAACTGAGACTAGCTGATATAGTAATACTGTACAGTCCACCTTAAGACCTTTAATCTTGATGTCCTAAAGTAATATAAGGAATAGTGTGTTTAGCTTTGAGAATTTTCCTCTTTTTATTTTTGTACATGTGATTTTCTAGGTTGGGTTTAGTCTCCAGAAGCTGCCAGAGTCCCCCTCTCTCCTAGAACATGTAGCAGCTTTCATTGCATCGTGTGTTTGTTGATACTGTAGACTGTAATGACGCGTGCATGGGTGAGTCCAAAACAGTCACGAGAGAGAAGAAGAGATTTGCCATTGAAAATATTCTACCTTGGATTAAAGATGTACTAGGTAACTTTTCTGGTGGAGGGTGTGCTGTTATGCTTGTTCCAGTGGAGGTGTTATAGTGTTGCCTTAGATGTTTTACAGTACAGCTTTAATATTATCTATCTCCATGGACACCAGGTCAAGTTATAGGTCTGATCTGTGGAGAGGTGACCCTGCTCTTAGTAAGCTATGTTGTATTCATAGCCAAAAATAAATAAATAATAATAAAAATAATGTTTTTATTACAGTGAAAAGTGTTTAATTCATCTCTGAGTGGGCTTAAACCTCCACAAAACGACTTTTTTCTCAATGGAAATGCCGTTCCTTTGGCTATAATATTTCACAGTATGGCGCAAAATGTGTCTGTCTCCATGGAGAATATTCCAGAGTATGGCTTTAACTTTCTATTTCCACCATTAGTTAAAAAATTACATGGTGTTTTGTAAGGAATAAAGCCCCTGTTGAAAAAAAATGCAAGATAGATACATATCATTGCAAAGACATCTCCATGGAGACAGGGAGGTAGCGGGCCCCTCACCAGAAAAGTTACATAGTGTAGCTTTAAAGGTGCATTGTGTAAATTTTGTGGTGGAGGGTCTGTCTTCTCGATGGACACGTTATTGCTTTGGAATGTTTCACAGTATGGCATTAAACCTTTCTATCTTCATGGAGACCAAGACTATGTTCAGACTGCAGCCTGAAGTGACCCAAATCAGTTTTTTTCACCCCAATGTGATCTGTATCTGATTTTTTAATGACAGTTTGAACGACACAGATCCGATTTTTTCAAATGCGACCCAGGACACTTGGATATGTGCTCCTAAAACCGATACATATCCGATCTTTTGACATGTGACTTAAGTCTGAACGGTCAGGTCACATCCCACATACACGTCAGGCTCGGAGTCTAGTCAAGGGAGGGAACGCGAGGTTAGTGAGTTCATTAATATTTTAGGGGATCGCTGTGTTCAGGCCAAATTGGAGGGGTTTTATTGGAACCGGGCATTTTTTGAAATGACTGCCAAAGAAATGTCCTGACTCCAATGTCAACAAAAAAAAAAGAGCCTACGAGCCAAATACAAGGAGGCTCAAGAGTCAAACAAACGATGGACGTGGATGTGTAACCTGTCCATTTTACGAAGAACTGGACCATATTTTGGGAGACAAGCCGAGCCCGTTTAAAGTTCACACTGGAGATCACATACAAATCGCATTTAATTGGAAATGTGAACGACCTCGCAAAAAAAATCCGAATTGAGCATTAAGCCCTGCAGTCTGAACGTAACCCAAATCAGACCAAGTTACAGGTCAAATCTGTGGAGAGGCAACCCCGCTCACAGTCAGAATGCCTGTTTTTCTAGACATTTTGAGCTATAAATCCACCTGTAAATGAATAAATGTAAGGTCGATTTGTTTCATGTTATTCTGTGGAACATTCCAGGCAGCGCAACGACATCTCCACAGAAACAAGCAGGTAGCGGACCCCTCACCAGAAAAGCCATGCGGTGCAGCTTTACGTGGCCTTTTATCATCCTCACCCGGCCTTCCTCGCTTCTCTGCTCTACGAACCAAGTCCATGTGATAATAGTCCGTTTTTTTTGCTGTCTGTAGATGTCTTGATGATTGTTTTTTTGGATTTTGAGTTGAATGAGACTAGCATGCTGCCAAACGTCAATCATATGCGCTGTTAAATCTAAAGACAAGCCTTAGCCGTTCTATGGTCAGCTGGTCAGTGAGCTCGGGCAGGGGAAATACAGCCATACTATTAAAAATGACCCTTCACTTCGCGCCTAGCATGCTATCGTTTATGTTGTCGTAGTAACGGTAAAGAATGGAGTCAGTGCTGTGTAGGAGTTGATGCGAAATCACTCGGGATTATGGTGGTCCAGAAGGTTACGCTGATTCGTTATGAAAGACAGTTACGCAAATGAAGGGTGAAATTACGAGATCAAATATTTCAGTTCGAGTATTTTAAAAAGAGACTTCATTTCGTCACTACTTTCTAATGAAAATTACTAAAGATTAGGGACGTAACGATATCAAAATCCCCCGTGATACATATCTCAAGGTTCGATATTTATTGCGATATTTTGTAGAGGTTTACAAAACTTTTTCCATTTAAAAGCCTTGGAAAACCTTTGGTGCTGTTGTAATATGAAGAATTAAGATTTAAAAGTGCTTAATAACAGCTTTTCTCCATGGAGTCTACACTGACAACACCAAAGGATCATGGTCTATGTAGTTCCCTCTGTATTTTTAGTTACTACACCACAAGTTTAGCAAAGTCTGTACGTTTTACAGAATAAGAAAGACGTTAAAATGACAAAGAAAGACATTAGAATCACCATAATTATTCATTTAAGCAAACAGACTTGCAATTCGATTTATTGTGATGGGCTTTGATCTGTGAGACTTTTGACGATGCAATATCACTATATTTCGGTTATTGTTACATCCCTACTAAAGATGCTTGATAGTACAATGAGGTTCATTTGGTCTTCCGATAATTTATGTTATCAGGTTCTTTTTTCAGACCAAGAGTTTGTTTTCATACCTGACAGTTTCGACGGATTGAAGAGGCAATCGAAATATAGAAACGTACCCATGAGACTATAAACCGGGACGAGGGGGCTTTTTTACTCTCACACACCGGGGATATTGTCCTGAGGAAGTCGGACTGCAGATGGCGCTGTCGTCCTGCCTCCACCGGTAGAAAAACAGTGCCCAAACCTGTTTAAATCAGTTGACCAGACAGCACCATCACATGACCATTCTGAAGAAGACCGCTAGTGACCAGTCGAAAACAAATTCTTGGTCTGAAAAAAGAACCTAATAACACAAAGATGCTTGAATTTGATTGAGAAAGTTAAATGTTTTGCACTAAAATACATGCTCTATGCAAAGAGTATCTTAAATTAAAACACAAAATTGGTTTAAATTGCTCTTATCTCTTACCTGATTTTTCCTTTAGCACATTTTAACACTTTCAAATGTTAAAAATAGTCAAAAAAGGCATTTTGAAATATATAAATGATTTCAAAACAAATGACACCAAAGCAACACAATTTTTGCAATTTTGAAGACTAGAATAATTTTTTTCCCACACTTAATCAGATTTCCGCAATTTGACTCTTCAAGTGTTTAAACATGGAAAAATAACAAAATCGGCTACAGAAAATTTCAAAACACAATTAAATTATGACAAAAATTACTCGTAACAGTTGGAAAACTTGTGGACCACCATATGCCCCAACGAGTGAAGCCTTTTCCAAAATATTGTCAAAATACGTTTTTCTATTTTAGTCTCTTTCCATTGAAGAAAAACACGTGTGCCAAACATGTCCCTCCCACACATCGTTCGTACGTTGCATAGTTTAATAAGAAGACGAAGAACTCCAAAAAGAAATGCATGACTTATTCCCATTATATTGTAGATTCTATCCAAATAATGTAAATATATATATATACATCACTATATGTTAAAAATTTAGGAGCATTCTCGTAGCGATCGCTGTGAGATGCAATGGGCCAACAAGTGCAATATTTTATGAATGAACCTTGTACATAGATTTTCCTGATTTGAATGAGGTGGATGCAGCGTTATGAGGTCTTCGCACAGTTTTTTTTCCATCGCTTTCGAACTAAAGTCAAAATTTGTAATCGAGAGAGGCCTGTTCGAACCAGAAAGAGTCATTTTTACAAGGGAGTGATATGTTTTTGTCTGATTTGTGTCCAAAGCGATTGAAAAAAACTGCAACGTGAGACTTGTAAAACGCTTGTGTGAATGAGAAGTACTATGAAGATATAAAAATGAGTGGATATTCAGTGTTTGTGAATACCTTTTGTACAAATGTATCCACGTGGTATAACCGCTAACTGTTGTGCTCATGTCCAATGCAGTGTTGTCCAGTCTGGGAGGTGACTGTCCACTCCTTAACATAGAAAAACAATG